AATCGGTTCATTCTTTCGTAAGATATCAAAGGAGAAAGAATTTGAAAAAAAAACGTTTTTTTTAACATAACATCGAGAATTCGCACCATAATTTGGTAAAATTTGGTAGCGCTTTGCGTTTAAAATAAGCGGGAAGTTCCAAGGATGGCCAGCAGGGTCAACCAATTTTTTTTCATTATTCTAAGCCAGCACTTCCCAATCCCACCTGACCTGAAAAAAATCTCACCTGATGGTAAGTGGTGATGTAGCTTAATATAGTAAATCGCACTGACAACAACATTGTAATTGGATAGAAACACAGATGCTGGCAACTTTTTCCACTCCTTTGGTGTACTCATGACGAACGACGTAGCAAACCGTTTGGTTCGAATGCGTGGTAAGTCAACAACGAAAGGGTAGAGACTGGCCGAACGTCTGGTCGTCCGATGGTGGAAGGGAGAGGGAGGAACTAAATTATGCAATTCCTGCGCACACTCTCCGAAATGCATCCTGTAGAAGACCGAAAGGCTGGCTACTTCGCGCCTGTGTTCGAGGTGAGATTTTTTCTTATAATCACAGATTTTTATTACAATATATTATTTCGCCCAAAGTACATATGATTTTTATATAAATATACTTATACGTCTTGAAATTTATGGAGTAACCTGAAGGTGTACTTCGGTATCTGCTACTGGAAATCCTTGACGAGTAGAACCAAGTGTGCCAAGATTGTGCTTGTTATCTTAGTTATGATGAAATCTTACCCCCAGACTTGACGGAGTGACCTGAATGTATACTTTGGTGAATGCAACTGGAACTAACCGAAGAGTAGTAATAGTAATAGGTGTGCTAAGTTTGGGCGATTTAGCTGGTAAGATTGGTTTTAACCAAATTCGGGTCACCAAGAAGCCTCTTAGCACGCCTTTCTATTGAGTCCAAAGCTGCTAGGTGGCATTTTGCAGCACCAGCCCATATATGGCAGCAATACTCCATGACTGACCAGACTTGCGCTTTATACAAAGTAAGCATCTGTCCCGGCGTAAAGTATCGCCGCACCTTTGCAAGGACTCCTAGCTTCCTTGCAGCTGCTTTGGCCTTGGACTCAATGAACCGCCCGAAGTTCAGATTTGAGGATATCTCAACCCCCAGCAACGAGGCGGTCGGTGTATTCCAGTGATACATTTCGGAAAGAAGGAGCCAAGGTGAGCTGGCTCCTTTTTGCAGTGAAGAGATACGCTTGTATTTTGGGAGGTGTTAAATTTCACAAGATTAGCATCGCCCCATTCGGAGACTGCCTGTAGTGTGAGATTCACACGCTCTACCATAGCTTCTCCTTCAGACTGAAATTGATCCCGACTGGTCCAAGGATTTGGTTGATATCTCTCCACAACTGTGCTGTCGTCTGTGTACCCATAGATACCGGGCATAAGCAAATTATTAATATGCAGCAGGAATAGAGTTGCAGAGATAACAGACCCCTGAGGAACACCGGCGTTAGTCGTCACTGGATCGGATGAGCAGCCATCGACTACGATATGGAAAGACCGTTCACTAAGAAAGTCCTTTACCCAGTCAATCAGATCATGGGATAAGCCGTACGCTGGAAGCTTAGCCAGAAGGCTAGCATGCCAAACTCTGTCAAAGGCCTTTGAAACATCAAGGGAAACAGCAAGTGCTTATCCACTGATCTCGAGTGCCTCGGAGGCACCAGCGGAGGCAGTGAAGGCCGACAGAAGTTTGTCTTGACCGCTTTGGCAAGAGACCAAAAAGCTCTAGTATTGGATGGTCTGGCAGTTTTGCGCCAATATGTTTAATGAGATCGAGACTGGCTTTCCGTAATGCTTTTTTGTGGGACTTAGCAGAAAGTTTTCTTCTTGAAGTTGATATCCGGAGCTTTGCAGTTTCGAGCCGCAACCCAGGACAGGAACGCTAAATGCTTGTTTTTTAGCTTGAGCACATTCAGCGTTGAACCATGGGCGAGCTTTGCTACTGGTGGGAGTGTCAAAAAAGGGGATAAAATACTCCATAGCTTGACGCAATACATCGGTTATCGAATCCGCGCAGCTCGACGAATCCGCAGAAGAGAAAGAGACCTCTCGCCAAGGATAGGATGCAAAGAAGTGTCGCATCTCATCCCAACCAGCTGACTTGTACCACCATATTCGTCAAACACCTTGGGACTCATAATCAGGTGGAGACAATGGCGATACAGACAATGGTGGTCAGATGTACCCAAAGGGGAGGTAACCTGTACTTCATACCTGTCTGGCTCGGTAGTCAGCAGAATGTCCAAGCAATTGGCTGTGTGACCGTCTCCATCAGGTACCCTAGTCGCTTCCTTTACCAGCTCTTGATGAAATTTTTTTGTTTCCCCACGAGGGTGAGGCCCAAAATTGAAAACAGATTTTTGATAAATTGAAGAATTTATGAAATTAAAAGCATGGGGAAGGGGCTTCATTAACCTTACTATAAGGGTATTCAAAATATTGTGGTTAAAATGTGACCGTGTCACAATGACGGATATGGAGTGAATCACAACTGAAGCCTCAGTCATGCTGTTGAACCGAAATTTCAGGATGACTCAAAACTATAAAAGCACCATACTTCCACATGGAGTGTTACCTCACTCAGTGTTATATATACAAAGTTCGCTCAAAGGCTTGGAGCTTGCCCTTAATTTCATAGTATTTATTGGTAGTTAATGAAAGTGGTAATTGCCTATCATACTATTAGGTTTTACAATGAGTTATTATAAGGGACAAAAAATAAATAATCTTTTCAAAATTTCTTAAACAATCATACAATTTCTAAACAATCATCCAATTTCTAAACAATCCCACTAAAAAGTGATGGGGAATTAGAAGCAGAGACATCCATGATAGTGTATAGCCTCTGCACTCTTTAAGGTATAAACTATACTAGAATAGAATAGATTTTATTCAACATATATTAAATGTAATTCTTATTGAAAGTCATTTACTTTTACCACTGGTTCTGAAAAAAACCTCTGACCTACAGCAATAAACTTTCTTGATTTTGTCTTTCAAAGTAAATTATACAATAAGAAAGGTTGTAAAATTTATTTTAAAAACATAAGGTGGAAGCGACCACCTACAATCACTAAGCCCTATACCTCCTATATGAAGCTGACAAACTATTTGGTAAGCCACAATGAGAGTGAAAACTTAATACAATATATAACATGTCAGTAACACGATCAACTTTTTCAGTAAGATCTTTTGTTTGATTGTATATAATTACTCTTTTTTAACTATTTTAAACCAGAGCTTTACTGCCATGCTATGTGATGGTATGTGATGCTGCAACCAAAGATGGCAAATCATAATAAAACTTAACAAAAACCTATTCACTCTTGCCTTAAAGGCACCTATATTGTAATCAGATGGAAAAACAGATGCTAACAAATCACTGCTTTATTGCATGCATTATGAACCACAAAGCATACTGCTCGATTTAAATGTGTGGTATGTTGAGCATGAAGTGGTGGAGATGAGCCGTACATCTATTGGTCCAATAATGGAATGGAGAGGGAAGAATTAATTCAGTCTGTAAAATATAGAATATCTGGCAACTTTGCACCTGGGCTTAAGTCTTGTCAAATTGGTGCGAACCATATTGATGTTTCAAATAAGCCTCTAAGCATGCCTTTCCATTGAGTCTAAAGTCACTATATAGCATTTTGCAGCACTAGCGCAAATATAGCAGCAATAATCCTTCACAACTGGATTTGAATTTTAAATAGTGTAAGGAATACATGATTTTATGACTACACTGTTAACTATGTGTTAAAGCTAGTTTATAAAAATGGTATCCTTAATTAATTAACTTATTAAATTTGAATCTCAGGATCTGAAGACATTAACTATATTTTTGGTATCATTATTAATATTACCATTAAAGGAACATAAATACTAAATTGTTTTGCAACTGTATTAATGATCATTGATCAGAATATTAGCATACAGTCAAACTCTAAATAATTTCAAGAGACTAAGTGATTTCTTTTGTTATTGATTTCCTTATATGGAGACAAAGATGTTTAGTTATAAATGATCAATAATGTAAAACAACATCTATGCTGCAAAGTTTTACCTTATAAAGGAAATTTGTTATAAATAAATAGCACTGTTTACCTTCCCCTCTTAAAGTTAACAAAGGGGAGTATAGCAATATTTTCTATTAAGCTCTTTTTGCCATAATATGCACATTATTTATCACCTTATGCCTATATTTGTATTGAAAGCAATTTGTTTTTGAATGCAGAGTAAAACAATAGCTATTGTTCACATCAATTTTCTTGTAATATCCAACAATAAAGTTCCTGATCCTAATATTACTGATTACTTTTGGAACATTATTTTTATTATTAACAGGCTGATATTTTACCAAGGTTAAACTTGATAATGTTCATAGTAGTAAACATGTTGGATGTCAATTTACTCGTACCTTAGTACCATCACTGATGGGTAGCCTCGCTTTATATCAATAACAAGGATTTTCCAGTATAATTAAACATTGTGAGACATTTCACTTTAATCCTAAGTTTGACAATACATTTTTTGAAAATGTGTGTACTCTTTTATTTTTAGGTGAACTCTTTAACTCTTTTCCCATTTACTTTTATAAAAATAAACATTTCACACTTTAGCCAATATTCAGTAAGCACTGACCTTCACATGTGCCAACATGCGAAGGTGCAACACTAATCTTGTAATCTCCCTGCTCAACTACTTATTTCATTGTTCATTCTATAGTTAGAGATTAGTGCAAATTAAAATAAATTATTTAGTTTAAGGTCAACAATCTACTTCTAACAAAATATAAGTAAAACAGCAGGATCCAAGTTATTATGATTATTGTTGTTTTGTAATTTAAAGATAACTTAGCTGATATTAAGCATCATAAATCCTCAAGTTACATTCAAGTATTCGAGGCAAGAATATTTAAAGTAATGTAAAATAAAAATTAGGTAGTATGTATGTTGATAAGCGCATACTCACTCTAATCCAATGGAGAGCAGATGCTGGCCAATGAGGCGCACGATTTCCTGGTCAGTCTGGCTCATCCGTAGGCCAGGCAGTTGCAGGTCACCGTTCTGCGTGGACGCGTCACCATTGAGGTGGTGAGGTGCGCCCACCGCACCATTGGCACAAGGCTGGTGCATGACCTCGGGCTCCGGCGACAGCCTGCGGGTGCGCTTGCGCGGCGGCCGCTGGCCCGCGCCCTCGTCCCCCGAGTCACTGGAGGCCAGACTGGCCCTCTCGGCTGCGCGTGCTCGCCGCGCTCCCCGGAGCGCCGAGATCACGAACGCGCCCTCCGCATCCGCCGCATCGGCCTCGACACCTCGATCTCGTGACGTCACGGCCGTCCGCTACGCACCACCCGCGCTCAATGAACCATCTCCCTTTGTTCGTTGTTACAAAACTACGCTTCTCGATTGTTACCTTTTTAAACCCTTTGTTAACTATCCAATAGATAAAAACTGATCTAAAGACCCTTTAGCACCTCAACACAGTATTACAACTGGTACGCGAGATCCCAATATTCTCTATCATATACAAAAATCAGCTGAAAATGAAACGACAGCTGTCTAATGTCTGCTAATGTCGCTATATGTAAACGTCATAGATCTAGAATAAACTCAAAATAAACTCCAGTAAGGCAGTGTTGGGAAACAGTTGGTGCGAAATTATGGTGCTGCCAAGCTAGAAAATATTGTATTTTGGGTAGATTTTTTTTATTTATTTAAGCTGTCTAAATCCAAATTTAATAGGTTTTTGCTATTTCTTTATATTTGCATAAACTAAAAATATTTTATTAAATGTTTTTTTTTTAATTAAAATACTAAAACTTAGGGCACGGAATTATACAATATGAACTAAACAGGAATGAAAAATTTGAAGTCGTCTTTTTCTTCGAGTTCGAAATCTCGAAGTGTAGTTGTAGACGGATTTGACTGCTGAGAAGTTGTTGCAACAACATTGGAGACAATTTGATTTGCCAATTGTTTCGTGGGTTCAAATGATATACATTCCTATACAATACGTATTGCGCTTTTAGAAGCGATAACTACATTATTTGGTATAAGTACACACTATGCTCAATAACCGTAATAATGTCTCCCAACGGATAGGTCTTAAAATGAACATGGACAAAACAAAGATCATGTGTAACATCCATATCACACCTATGACGGTAGTTCAGTTTAGTTGGGAGCAATAAGCTCAAAATTGTTGACGGGTATGTTTACCTGGGACAAAAAGTCTCACTAGGTAAGTCCAACTTCAGCTGAGAGGTCACTCAACAGATTGTTTTTATAGGACCGGGTGACAAACTAGCACACAGTCCACCTGGTGGTAAGTGGTTGCTGTGGCCCGTAGACATCTACATCTATCATCGCTCACGAATCAAAATGCAGATAGTTTGAATTTAACCGCGTTTGTTTTGGTTTAAAGTCGAGCCCATTTCATGCGTTACGCACGGTGAGACAGCTCGCTCACGATGAAGGTCCCTCTTATCCTAAAGCTAAGAGGGCAATTGAGAGCGGATTATATATGGATGATTTTGTGTATTCGGTCGATAGCGTGGAGGAGGCCACCCTAACCACCGCCGAAGTCATAAGGCTCATGAAATCGGGTCAATTCGATCTTGTGAAGTGGACCAGTAATTCGCGTACGGTTTTAGATACAATCCCACTATCACACCGTCTTTCGGCGATAAAGGAATTCGACGATTCCGATACACACAAGGTGCTCGGTCTGTGTTGGTCACCAGAGTCCGACGTGTTTAGCCTTAAGGTAAATCCGCCCGTAGAGAAATGCACAAAGCGCACAATACTGTCATGCGTTGCTAGATTATGGGACGTCATGGGTTTCGTAGCTCCTGTGGTATTGTACGCTAAGCTTTTGATTAAACAACTTTGGTTATTTGAATGTGATTGGGATGACTCGCCGCCTGACAGCATTGTTCGATTGTGGCAGCGTTTTAGAGAGGAACTTCCTTTACTAAGAGAAATTAAAATACCGCGTCATATAAATGTCGATAGAAATAGCAGCATAACGGTCGTTGGATTTGCAGACGCCAGCGAGAGGGCTTACGGGGGGCGTTGTATATTTCCATGTCCAGAATAATGGTAGAAATTCGATTAGCCTCATTAGTTCTAAGTCGAGAGTCTCCCCCCGTAAGGTTGTCTCTCTGGCGCGCTTAGAGCTTTGCGCAATATTAGTACTCACCAAGCTAATTACCACAGTTATCGGCGCATGTAGGGATAGAGTTCACATAGAAAGGATATTTGCCTTTTCCGACCGTCGCCTTATGTTGGGTTCATTCTTCACCCCACCGTTGGGATACGTTTGTCGCGAACCGAGTGGCCAAGATCCAAGACGAGTTAGAAACGCGGAACTTCTATCACGTGTCCGGTAAGGAAAACCCTGCCGATTGTCCATCCCGGGGACTCACCCCGATGCAAATAATGGACCACCCGCTTTGGTTCCATGGACCTTCTTGGGTTCACTTGGATCCCTCACAATGGCCAATAACCGATTTCGAACCTTCGTCAGTGTCACAACCGCCGGAAGAGAGGAGACACGCTCTAGTGGCGAGCGTTTCGAGCGAGGTTTCTCCAATTATTGCTCTGGCGAACCGCTTGTCCTCTTGGTCGAAATTATTGCGTATCGTAATTTACGTTTGTCGATTCGCGAAGCTTTTACCGCGACGTTCGTATATCTTAGCATCCGATTACAACTATGCCGAGTCGCTAGTATTACGTGAACTTCAACGTGCGCACTTCTCCGAAGAAATTACAAGATTACAATCGAATAGAGCTTGTAGTCGCGCCTTTCAACGCCTTAAGCCATTTTTACAGGATGGGATTGTAAGGGTAGGTGGACGCTTGTCCAACTCGCAATTGAGTTTCGACCAACGGCACCCTATAGTTTTACCGCGTAAAGACCATATCATGAACTTAGTAGTCGATTATCATCATAAATTGAACTCGCACGCAGGCCCCGATTTATTGATGTCGATCTTGCGTCAGAATTATTGGATTCTTTCTGCACGTAGTTTAATACGCAATCGGGTGCACAGATGTATAGCTTGCTTTTCGGGCACGCCCCAAGCCGTCATTTCCGGAAATGGCGGAACTTAGATCTTGCAGAGTGATACAATCAGTAAAGCCCTTCACGCACACCGGGTTTGATTTTGCTGGTCCGTTTAAGGTCACGCTCACTCGCGGGCGCGGTATAAGATCCACAAAGGCTTACGTCTGCATTTTCGTATGTCTAACTACTCGAGCAGTGCATATAGAACTCGTGGGTGATCTAAGCACAGCAGGCTTTATGGGTGCATTTAAAAGATTTCTATCCCGCAGAGGCCCTGTAAGTAAATTATATTCGGATAACGGTACGAACTACGTCGGTGCAAAACGTATTCTATCGGAACTACATGAGCTCTTAGCTAGCAAGTATTATACTTCGGAGTTCGCTCACATTCTAGCCGAGAACCGCATTGAGTGGTCTCTGAACGTCCCAGCCGCGAGTCATTTTGGGGGCAATTGGGAGACTAATATTAAAAGTCTAAAGAGCCACTTATACCGAGTAATAGGAGATCAAATTTTGTCCTTCGAAGAGCTAAGTACGGTGCTCGCTCAAATTGAATGCGTAATGAATAGCCGCCCACTTTGTCGGACGTTATCTAGTGACCCCTCGGAACCGCTGGCTCTAACTCCAGCACATTTTTTGAATTTAACGCTTCTAAGGTATCTGCCCGCCGCGGATATGGATGAGAACAGACTTAGCATTTCCGCACGCCACAAATTATTAGATCGGTTAGTGCAATCGTTTTGGAAACGATGGAGGATGGAATACTTGCATACTTTGCAGTCTCGGCAAAAATGGAACACAGCGACAGAGCCTTTAGCTGTAGGAACGGTAGTTGTGCTCACTAAGGAGAATACGCCGCCTCTCCACTGGCCGTTAGGAATCGTCGAGGAGGTCTTTCCCGGTTCCGACGGAGTAATAAGGATAGCTCGCGTTAAGACCACGGTTGGGTCTTACCTACGTCCTGTTGTCCGTTTGTGCCCCTTGCCTCTTCCATAATTTAAATTAGATTTCTAGATTAAAATTGTAGTTGAATTTAGGTAATCTTAGCGTTAGTTAGTTATTTGTTAGTTGATCTTAGCTCTAGTTGTTTAGTTATTTTTTGAAGGAAATCCTTCAAGGGCGGGGGGAGATGGTTGCGCGGAAAACCATTCGCGTTTTTATTTTTGACGGTAGGAACTTGCCGAATCATTATTCCCTTTCCCAAACGATATCATTCGTACCCTCCTATCGACACATCGGGGTGATGGGGTGGGAGGGGAAAGAAGACGATTCTAGAACATCGCGTAATCATCGGACCCGAGGATATATAAGACACGCGCGACCGACGCGCGCGCTTTCTTCCCGCCGCAGCCGTCGTTGAACTACAACGCTTCTCTCCTGACGCACCCCTGGGGCCCCAGAGTGTCTGTCCAGAGGAGGTTCCGGAAATCGCCGCTATAGTGCTCTAAAGGATAGAAGAACCCCGGTGAGTCAACATTCCTTAATTTACTGCCTGATTAATATTTAATAATTGTTTAACCGCTCCAATTCTGTGTTCTCCCCATCAGGCAGGATTCCTTTCATCGATTTGGCAAGTAATAGTTTTAGTTTAGGGAAGAGCGAGTGCATTGTACCGCATGCTATAGTAGTCGCTTTTACATAAGCATAGAAGCAATCGCAAATACAGTCCACTTTAGTTAATATCTCGCGTAATAGGTTTGAGGTTTGACCGGGGAACTAGATTTTCGGCAGCCTTAAACACGTGGCTCCACCACAATATGATTTCGTTTTTAGTATTTCCTTTATACCTATCATTAGAATTATTACTAATAATGCTTAATTTTTATTTTTTTTAATTATATTCTTATAAATAAGATTTAAAAATAATTATATTAAAAGAATTATATTATTATATAGTTCACATATAAACTTAAAAACTTGGTAATATTAAGTTGCTGAAAGACACGCTGTACTTAAAAATTATATGCGTGTTATGATATTCAGTGGAATCTCTATAACTCGGAACCTCGTTAAATCGAAATCCTCAGTAAGTCGAAAAAAAATTGCCATTCCCTTCCGCTGAACCCCTAAATACGCGGTATCTCGAATTATTAGACTTTGTAACTCGAACAAAATGTTATTTCCCTACGAAATATTGATAATATATATTTATACTCTATAACTCGAATTTCAAAAAGGAGACTCCGTAAGTCGTAGTTAGTAAACAATAATGACGTCTTACTTGGAATTCACCGAAATAATAGCAATAAAATCCGAATTTGAATTTTCAACT